TATTCCTATTATTAGCAGTTGTAGTGGTCGTCGTCGTCGTCGTCGTTGTCGTAAGTAGTGGTAGTAGTAGTAGTAGTAGTAGTAGTAGTAGTAGTAGTAGTGGTGGTAGTAGTAGTAGTAGTCGTAGTGGTAGAAGGAGTAAGTGTTAGTAGTAGTAGTAGTAGTAGTAGTAGTAGTGGTGGTATGCTGGTAGTACTGTGGTACTGGTAGTACAGACTGCCAGAGAAAATAGCAGCACTCATAGTGGCAGTTGTGGTCGTGGTCGTGCTACCAACTAATGCTCCAATTGGGCCAGCATCAGACTCGGAAGGGGGGGGGGGGTGAACCCCACGTTGTTTTCGATGATCCCGACTTGATGTGCTGCATGTCACGACGCAAGGGGCGAAGAGACAAAGGATTGTCGTGCGCTTGTGACATTTCTTCCGTCAACGCAGCCATGGGCTATCAACGGTTCTCTGCTTGAAACCTCTTCCAAACACTGGAACACGAGGAACCTTTTCCAATCTCCGCTCTGAGCTCGCGATCCCGGGTGCCAAAGCACGATAGACGCAGCAGCAGCAGCAGCAGCAGCAGCACATGGCAGGACGGTTTCCCGCGCCCATCACCGTCGTCATAGCGTCTTTGGCCGAGGCACGGCCGGAGCCAGGACGTCGATGCGCCTCGGAGCGGAGCCCGGAGCTTGCAATCCCGATCCAAAGCTTCAAGGGCCAAGGTGCTGCAGCGCAGATAGGTAGAGGCTGGTTGGCAGAACGACCGAAAAGAAGAGCAACAGCATGGCCTGCCGGAGAGTCCGACCGTCAGCCAAATGCAACCCGCTAAAGGGCTCAGGGGTTGGGCTTCACTGCATCTCAGCACAGGAGCCACCGTAGAAGAACCCCAAAGGCTCCGAGTGAAAGCGCCTGGCCCGCCAAGCGATGGATCCAAGCAAGGTCGCGGCGCCGACGCAGCTGCTCACCCAGGATTTGCACCTCTGCAACTCAATCCTGCGGGGAGGCTATGCGAGAATTGCAAGGGGAAGAATTGTGACATCCGATGCTCCGCTATTACTATGACACTGCTACGACAGTTCAATCAAGTTCAATTATGATAGAAGCCCGCTACCCTTTTGCCAGGCAAAGCGCGGCTGCCAAACTCCACATCGCGATGCTTGCCCAAACATGGACCTGCACTTCTTTCCCCATCAGAGGCTTTGTGAGATGATGCAGTAAGACAAGGCAGCTGTCAAAAAGGGGAGGACGCCTCGACGACTTTGCTGTATGTCGGGCCGACTTCAAAGGCATTGTCCTCAGTTTCAGCGGGAAGCCACGACGACCGGGGGCCTCCGGGCCATGGGCTTTTTCGGTGTTCACAACAGCTGAGCTCGCAGCAGTCAAAACCACCTGGCACAGAAGTCCGGCGCAAGCATACTGCCTAACAACATCTCTTACAGAAGCCAACTCAAACCAACTTGAAGATCAGAGTTCAGAAACAACAACACCGCAGCCTCTCAGCTGAATAGCTGCATCGTGTCTCCACTGTAGGTCGGAAGGACCCCTTCATTCAATGGTCTGTGTGTTGTGGGGTTCTGCAGAAGACATGCCATCTGGACGAAGAAGCTGGCCCGCCGCACCAGGAAGGTAAGCATCTGAGCACAAACGACATGTTGCAGGTCCATGTTATTCCATGTTCAAGGCAGCTCGATTTGAAATTTGACCAACAGTGCTAGACTCTGTTAGATGTGATCATGGCAACTGCCTCTGCTGCCGCGAAAGCCGCCGCCGGCACCCAAAAGACCCGGAGGAAGTATTCTAGCTCGGCGCCGGTCCTGCATCGCACGCCAAATCACTGTCGGACACAAGACCCACGAAGCTTTGGCACTTGTGTTGTGGTCTGCCGGAGTCTCGCAATCATGTGAGACATTGGGGAGGCTAGGTAAGGCTTAAGGCTTAAGCTTGCGCAAGCGATGCTGTAGCCACTCCTGTAGCCCTGCGCCAGCTCGGCTCTTGTTTGCTTAAGTCCTTTTCTGGATTCTGCCCGTTGCGAAAAGCAGCTCGAGGGGGACGGGTCTGGGAACGCCACCCGGCCTTCCGGAGAGCAAAGAAATCACCGTGGCGGATCGCCTCACGAAGGATCTTCGCTGCCGCGATTCGAGTCGGCGTCAGGTTCTGACAGCCTTCTAAGACTCGCTGTCGGGCAGCTGAAGGCTCCCTAGAAAATTCAGAATGGCTCTGAAAACTCCGATCCAGACCCCACCCCTGTTAGCCCCAAAGCCGCCCTCCCCCCACCCTGAAGCTTCCGAGGCAGAGGCTGAGGCAAAGCGCTTTGAGCAGAACTTCCTCCGGGCGCACGGTTTCACGGCTTGCGGGCAGCTTCAGCTTCTACCAAGCAGGTTGAAAGCCATTCCACGGTTCTGCTTTTCGGATCGGTCAAACGCGGGCGCAAAGGGTAACTGTCGGTTTGCATGCGTCGCACGTAGACTTTCGTCAGTGTGATGCCACCGCACTGCAAGCTTGCGACTCGGCAGCAGGTGAATCGCTCCGACACTGGCACGTGCCAGACAAGGCCTGCTCGCCAAGTCTACCGGGGCGGGTAGGTGTAGGTGTGTGTAGGCGTGTGGGGTCAACATCTGCTGAAGGCTCCGATACGGTTGGGCCGCTCTGACCATGCTCCTCCATCGGAAAGGGCATTGGTTGCCAGGTCGAAGCCGTCTCCATCTCCTGGAGCTGAAACTTGAACTGTCGCGTTTCGTGTTGAGCATCATATCAGTCATATCTGTAGAAGTTTCGCTGCGGTGCGTGCCCAACTCTGCAAAGGCTTCATCGTCCTACCCAGCTCGTCCTGTGTATCGATACCTGCCATCTTCATCCATGAGCTTGGCGAATGCATGGTAGCTCCGGGTGATCGCACATTACAAGGGTTACTTTGCATTGCAAGACATTGTAAGACTTCGCAAAATTCTGCGGCTCTTTCAACTTCAACAGTCACATGGGCTCGGACAGCTTAGGATTCGTGCGGGGCGCAAGCTTGAGGTTGAGTGGCAGGTGACCACGGGTCACTCTGGAAAGAAACAACACCTAACTTCAAATTTGGCCTTGCTGTTTGGGAGGGCTCATCGCGGCGATTGTGGTACTTTTCTCCACCCAAGCTGCGATACGTAAAGCACTCACTGGTCGCAGTACGTACTGCCTTCCAGTTTTCAACTGATGGTCTGTTGGAGGAGTTGTGACATCTGAGCTTCGAGCCTTGACTATTGACTGGTCAGGAAGATCCGATCATGCAGGAGAAAAAAGAAAACACTGCAACTCCAAGCTGGAAATCGTGCTGACAGCGACACTTTTTCCACGCTAACCGCGGATGTTCCATTTCGCGCAGCGTTGTCCTTGGCGTGCAGTTTTCAACTTTTCAGCTTGAGTTTGAACAGCGAAGTCCCGGTGCTTCAGTGCAGGCCCGCCTACGACGTAGATGCACTGCCAAAGCTCAGAACGAAACGATGTTGAACGGGCGGAACGGACAAAGCAGCAGTCATAGATATGGCCGTCCAGTAGCGCAAGCGGGTACCAGTGTTCCCCAAGGTTTCCTACAATCCTGGGTGTGTATCGCACGTAGGCTGCAAAGCAAACCATCCCTGGGAACCTGCCCCTTGGCACAGGGCATGGCGCAGAGAGTTCGTGAGGGAGTGAGTGAGTCAGTGGATGATGGAGTGAGTGAGCATGTGCGGGATGCAAGCCTGCCAATCGAAAAGAGGCAAGCCTCGACGTGTGGGCGCATGATACAGCGAACGTCCACGTGTTCCTGTGCAAACTTCCTAAGCTGAGCCGTGAGCCTGCGAAACACTGCATGATGCTAATTTCTTCTGCTGGGCACTGAAGGCTCCGAGAAGCTCCCTGTGGTATTCTCAACAAAGCCTCGGTGTCCACACCGAAAACGGCAGCAATTCCGCATGAACCCTCTAGACTTGCAAGAGTTTTCTTGCCATCGTTGAAAAATGTGGCCGCTGTGAGCCCAACCGCGGCAGCATGCGTCTGCGCCGATTAAGCAAGGGCCTACTCAACATTTGAAGCTCTGCCCAGACTGTCATATATTGTTCGTCGTGGTGTGGCATCACAACAGCTGTCAGTGCGGTGCAGCAATTCCATGCTCTTCGCAGCTTTGCTGGCCCCGGCACGCCCCGGCCAGGTGCTTCTTTTTTTCTCGTCTGTGGTGCTCTGTTGATGACCCTGGCCTACTGTACGTGACCATCTCGGATGGAGCCTTGGGCTCACACGGCTCACGTATGCTCACGATGTAACGTGCAGATCCCGCGGTCGCTTTGCGAACCCCGGGCCCGGAAGGCACCTCCCGAGGCCCAGCTGCGGGAGAATTCCGTGCGACCTTTAACTTTTCACCTACCTCTAACTTCCTTTTGCGGAAGCCAAAAAATGCGAATAAGAAGCAGTGTGTACAGCCATAGACATAGCCAGAACTGCCACAGGGCGTCACCATCGCCGGCCAGAACGGTCATAACCATATTCTGAAGTCAGAGTGCAGACTTGGCAGGGCAAGCCTCCGATGTATCCGTGTTACCCTCCCTGAGCCAATCCTAATGCCTGCACTTTGCTAAGTGCCCGACTGTTGTGGGCTTTCTATGCAGGCTCGCAGCTAGGCCCTAAACCCTACATCGCGTCCCCCAAACCACCATCGCTTCAGGTCGCGAGTTCTCTCAACGGCTGAGCCTAGGCAATGCAACGCGCAGCAAAAAAGGGAGGAAGCCCCTGCGGCCTCGAAAGCTCTGGGGGGCCGGCCCTCGAGACCCCGTACGAGAACGGAGCATCCTCGGCTTCGGGTCCCCTTCTAGGAAATCTAGGGCTAGGGCTTCGACATGCAAGTCATGTTCCAGACGCTTTTGGACGCAGGGACAAAAGAAACGGAACTAAAGCTACACTGAAGTTGATCGTGCCACCCTGGGCTTCCGTCTGCCTCTCTTTTCGTGCAATCGGAATTGCTTGACCCGGCCTCCTCTAAGGACATGCGGGTGTTGGTTCGGGGTTGGGGAATCTCTTCCTCCTATGAGCAAGCATGGTTGCGGCGTCAATTGCCCATGTTTGTGGGAGCGGATCGCAACAGCTCCCCTTTCTCACGGCAATATCAAGTTGCCATAAAGCGATGTCAGTCACGAGGATCGTGACCCCCAGTGTCATTTTCCCACGCAGGTCCAAACAAAAATGTCAACTATCTCGCAGATTCCGGCTCCAAGCCACCCCATCTTGGCGACATCTTCGTTCCAAAAACATGAGCTGTCACGAGGATTCGGATTGCCTTACAGTCTTGGCAGGATGCGGTCCAAAACAACAACTGTCACGATGATTCCGGTTCCAAGCTCCCCATTCCTGTCACTGCTGAAAAACGTGAGACGGTGCAGAAACGACACCTGTCATCAGGATCTCATGCAGGCATAAGCATACCTGCATACATGCAAGCACGGTCGTACATGCACACCTACACATGTAAACAAACGTAGGCAGGCATGCAGAAATACATGCATTCATGCATTGCATGCCTATGCACTGCGACAAGCGCTCGGAGGTCTGGGATGGGTCGAATGTTGGCATACGGCAGGAATGCCCCTGACCCAAACCTTTGACCACGCAGCTGGTGTGCATGAGGACACCCCGCGGGCGCTCGAAGAGCAATCAACCGTCGGCTCTCACGCGGAACAGGTACACCCAGGCCGCATCACACTTTACCGCCGGCGTCGCCATCACCATACCGTTACAGCACCAAAGAACCCCACAGTCCGACCTGCATAATCATCCCTCTCGTTCAAGCTTCCGGCGATCATCCCTGAGCCCTACCGTCTATTCGCAACCCTCGTGGCATGCCTCTGTTTTTGCCCCCGGAACTGTCATGAAGCAACTAAGGCAAATGCGCCAAGGTCTGCTCGGCGTGTGCGAGCCTGGCTGTCGCTAGAAGCATAGTTTCGTTTGCATATACCGCAAAGAAGATCATATGCATCCCATTCATGCATCATAGGCGGCGGGCGCCTGGGGGAGTGTGGCAAACGACCTGACGCCGAAACCGGATTCCTGAAGCCGCATTGCTTTAGGTGACGCCGAATTGTGAGGCCACGTTGTATGACGCCGAATTGGGTCGCGACGCCGAATTGTCTCCTGACGCCGCATTGGGTGGCGATGCAGAATTGCTGACGCGACATGACATTAGGTGGTGACGCCGGATTGTGAAGCCACACATTAGCCGAGGCCCCTGGAGCTGATCTCAGAGCCCTGCAGGCCATCCTGACGTGCACACGCAGGGGGGCGGCTCTGTCCTGACAACGCACAGAAACACCGCGGGTGCCGCTGATCTTAAAATCAGAACTCTTGAAACCCTCAATCAAAACTCTTGCAACCCATGAACTCCGAGGGTGAAGCCTTTGACTGATTGGGCTCCCCTGATTTCGAAATCAGAACTCTTATAAACCTTGAACTCCGAGTGTTGAGCCTGGGGCTGATGGGGCGCCCCTGATTTGTACATCAGGACTCTTACAAAATTTGAACTCCGAGGATGGAGCCTTGGACTGGTGGGGGCGCCCCGGATTCTTAATCAGAACTCTTGCGAACCTTGAGCTCCGAGAGTGGAGCCTTGGACTAATGGGGCGCCCCTGATTGTCGAATCAGAGCTCTTACAAAGCTTGAAGTCCGAGGGTGGCTTGGATTGATGGGCTTTCCGCGCGCAATCTGGGCTCTAACCAAGCTCTATAATGAGGACGCCTACGGTACTTCTGACCGAAGATACAGATTGAGCCTTTTTACGTGCTCCTCCCCTCAACAAGGAGCACGTATGGAGACCGAGTTGGGGGTGGGTTGTTTTGGTCCTGTTGGCCAAACAGGCACTGGACTGTTGGGCGCGCACCATCTCGCGAACCGAACTCTTGTACACTTGGATCTCCCAGGATGGAGCCTTGGACTGATGGAGAACCCGTGATGTTAACATCAGATTTCTTGCGGGACCCACGCTCAATCAAATGTCATGCGAGTCATGCATGTGAACCTGTCCTCGCATTCTGTTCGTCGCCGGTATGTTGCGAAAGCGGCTTCGCAATGCGTCTGTGCTTACCTGGGCCGTAGCCTCGCAATGTGTCTTCTGAAGTGTCTTCGCTACCCCAATGCGTCTTCGCCTGAACAATGCGTCTTCGCCACCCAAGTGTGTCTTCAAAACGAGGCTGCGCCTCCCAGCCAATGCGTCTTCAGAGTGCGCCTGCGCCTGCTAATGCGTCTGCGCCTTTTAGGCCTTTTTTTGACGAATGCGTCTTCACAATGCGGACGCGTCGTCAGGTCGTTTGCCACATGCACTCCACCAGGACCCCGCAATGCATTTATTGATCTGCTGGCTTTGTTGATCGTCTAGCTATCTGCGCCTGTCGTTCCTGATAAAGCTATGTGCTCGACAATCGAAAGGAACAACCAATCGGGACGCATGAGTCATGAATCAGCTCTGCTGGCAAAGGGGATCCGGCGAAGTATTCAAAGCAAGGACCTATATCCAACTTGTCTATCCGACCTCAACTAGCTGAACCAAAAAGTGTGTCCGGCAACCTGCGCAAAGCCAGGCTGACTGGTTGTGCTGGCTCGTGGTACAGCATAGTCGTAAAGTCGTAGAGCAGTCTGGTCGTGTCCGACCAAACATTCGCAGTCTGTTCTTCTGGCAGAATCTACAAGAAATGGTGACCAAACCCCGCTCATTATATAAAGCAGTTTAGCTTTCTCCTCCCGTATTCGGCTTGAAAACCCCCTTCGCTCTCTGGTTGTTTGCGTCTCACTCACACTCACACTCACACACACACACACTCACTCTGTGTGCGTGTGCGTGCGCGTGTGTGTGTGTGTGTGGGTGTCTGTCTGTCTCTGTCTGTGGCTTTGCAGCAAAAGGCTGTATGATAGGCAATCTCAATCCAAGCGGAGCCATCCAGAGTTCCTTGCGTTAGAGCCAAGCTCCCAGACTGCGAATCAAGTCAAGTTACACCGCTTAACGATAGGAGCAGTAAGTGGACAAGGACATGATGGCAGAGAACAAACCAGGACCAACGCAACTGATGCAGCCTCTCTTCCGGCTGTACTCGCCGTTTCTTGCGCCTTTCAAGCGGTGAAGACAGCCGTCCACAAACTTGCACAGCTGCAGGATTTCGGGCCGGCTTGTCGGCATTTGAGCTCGCTGCGGTGCAAGTACAGTCACACTCCGAATCACGGTCTCGGTTTGCTACGCTTCGCACGTGCAGCTCGGACCCTGCTGGTTGAGCCTCTGATTGATTTGGTGGAGCGCGAAGCACAGCAACAGAATCAGCGAAGCTGCCGGAAACCTGGGGTTGACGTCAACAATCTACTCTGACGGCAAGTCAACAACAACATGCCGAAGCATCATGCTCCGGAACCTAGATGATGGGCTGCAGAGGTCTCGCTCACTTGCGTCCATCAGTGCCAAGTTGCGGCGAGACGACTATGCCCTGGGCTACATTACCTCGGCTGCTTACGGGCTGCTCGCACAGGAACACGCCAAGAGAGCTAGCTCCCGGGTCGGCTCGAGTCCATGCAGTGTAATGGGCAGGACCTTTGCACATGTTGCTCTTCTCAACAACAGCTGAACCGAGATCAGTATTAGATTTCAGCATCACAGCCAAGTAACCTGAAAAGGCCTCCAAAGAAGCAACTACGACTACGAGCAGTCATGCTTGGGAATGTGATTCGGACTACAGTAGGACCCAGCGTATTTTTTTTTGAGAAACTCCGGAATCCCCCTACAGGCGAAGTCTCTGAGTGTAGCTTCAAGGTGAGTAGGGGCCGAGGAGCAGATCAACTCCATCGAGGCCTCCGCGTAAGCATTCCGCTCCTTGGGTTCACAAGGAAGTACACAGCACTCATGCAGAATATTCATGCCGGGAGGCCGGCTCGGGATTGTAGTAGGATCTACTCTCGAGGGGTCATTCCTGCCGTACAGCTAGCCTGGCATGCACACCCGGCAGGGAACACCTGAGCAAAAAACTCTGCAGCTGACCAGAGGGATAAGGAGATGGACCATGCGGTATGGGGCTCCAGGGCTTTGCGGCCAAAGTGCAGAAGCGACAACCACGAAGAANNCCTGGGCGTGTATCCCCTCGCAAAGCGTACAGGAACACAGGCAAACACAGGTGTCTCCTTTTGCTACAGGCGCACAGCTGTGGATCAGTACTCTGCTAGAACCTTGAGCAACAGGTATAGATACATGCATGTGATACGTGAAACAGACAGGCACCTGGATGTGTAACATTCTGCGTTTCAGGGGGGGCATATCGATCCTACTACAACCCCAAGCCCTGTGCTAGAAGCTGATTGACACCGGTTTCCCCTCTCTGTGCAGGATGCTGGCGTGCTCTACAACTCTCGAGGGATCATTTCTGCCGGCGTACAGCCTGGCATGCTCGCACACTGGTTTGGGCGCCGTAAAGACTGTCAGAAGTCCGTCAGGCAGGGAATACCTGAGCCAAACCTATGCAGCTAACCAAAGAGATAAGGAGATGGACCTTACGGTTTTGGGCTCCAGGGCTTTGCGGCCATAGTGCAGAAGCGACAACCACGAAGAATTGACCTGGACAAGCTCAGGGGATCACAAGAACCTCAAGGGTTTTGCCGACGCCAGTCTCACTGAATGCTAACGTTCAGACCGCAACGTGTGGCTTTGCGCAGTCGAAACTCTGGGCTGGACACCGTTGCTGATGCCCCGCATCGCTATGATTGCGACGTTGATGTTGCCGTCAGCCTGACACATCGTCGTGCTTCCGGCGCACAATGTAACTGCCCGAAGTCACATCGACCGGTGCTTGTCGAGCTCATGCTGCAGCAGCGCAGTGTGACGAAACAGCCACGGAGATAGAGTTTGCGGCTGGATTGTCTAGTCACTAGTCGTCTACGTGGGGCCGTGGGCGGGTCCTCAGCATGTTTGCCTTTTTTGTAAAGGCTCCACGGGCCAGGGCTGCTGGTGCCCAGTCCGCTGTCTCGCCTGCCCTTCCTCTCTCGCTGTCTGGGCCGGAGCCTTGGCACTCCGCTCTGGTCTGGAGCCCCAAGGACAGTGCAGCGTCTCAGAAAGTCGCAAGAGCCCTTGCATCTGTCTCGGTGAGCGTCGGCGGACTCTCAGACCAAAGGAAGGCGCAACTTTGCCCACAGCCAGAGCCTTGAAGGAGGAGCTGCCGGACATGCTCGCCTCCTCAAACTGCTCGGGTGTGAGGGAGGAGGCCTCGAGCCAGCGCGAATCCGAGAGATGTAACTTTCACAACTCGAGCCTGTGCAGAGAGAACCACATGCCATAGCAACGCAATGCCAAAGCCCAGATTGTCCGTACCCTCTTTCTTTCTTGGACATATCCAAATGGTGCAAACGAGCTTGCGGAGTCTTGGCAAAAGGTTTGTACCTGTGGAGTGGGCTGTTGTAGGTTAGTACGGGCGGAAAACCTGCGGCACATCTTGCCTTCAAGAGGCTGACGAATCGCCTCTGTCCCTTTCCGATCGCCGAACTGGGGCCCGAGCCCAGCCGCCCAGCTCCCAGGCCAGGCGAAACTGTGCGACGCCACTGGGCCGCGGCACCAGGGCCTTGCGGGGAGCCGGGGACAAGGCCGAGCCCAAGAAAACGCTTTGAACCCGCGCCTGCTCGCCTGGACGGAGCGTGGCAAGGAGCGTGCCGGCGAAGTCGCAGATATAGACCTCATCTCCTGCCTACTGCCTACTGCCTACCACATCTTGACTGCGGAACCATCTGCTCAAAATGCAGGAACCGTGGCATTCTAATTTGTACTGTCGGAGAGACCCAAGCTCTTGAATGATTTTCCTGGCTTCCACGTGTCTGGACACAGCGGCATGTCTGGGCTGCGGTTAACCGTTGCATCATGGTTAGCCGGACGTCGGGGTAAAGTACAAAGCGCAATGCCGATGTGCTACTTAGCCTCTTCTCCTGCTCCTCCTCCTCCTCCTCGTCCTCCTCCTACTACTACCATTGCTGCTGATGCATCGTCGGCGAGCATTATCAGAGCCACGGCTTCTCCCAACAATGACGGCAACAAGAATATCAATGGTAAGTGCCATCACTATCACACTGAACAGAACATGCACTGCAGCCAACAATCCGGACCATTCCGGTGGAGCTCCCGACTGGTGCTAGGGCTGCGGCAGCACCCATCTGTCCTGTGCAAGACACGGCTCTTCATTCAGCAACTCTCCCCAGCTACGGCGGCTATACCGGCGAAGCAGCGAAGAGCTTTAAGTTGGGCAGACCCGAATGAACCATGTTAAGCGAGCGCCTTAGCCCAAGATGGCCCAAGGGCCGGGCCTAGGTTCGCACGGTCATCCAGGCGACCATCGCCCCGAAGATCTGTCACCTGCGACCGGAATCATGGAAGGGCCTTTGGGCCGGTGTGGGCTTGGCAGGGCTGCGCGTCAGTCGAGACTTTTTGCCGTAAACGTGACGGTTTTGCACCGAACCTCTCGGTCTCCACAAACATCCACCTTGACTTTTTGCAATGCCTCCCGTCACGGCCTCCACGACTGCTCTTGCAATGATGGATAGGTTCCCGCCGCTTCCAGGAAACACTGACCTCGGACGCTTGCAGTAGGGACCGCACACCCGCATCGCAGGAGACATGCCAGCAACACCAGTAAACCCAGCGCTCAATACCGCCGTCCAGGCGCAGCACCGGAAAATCAAGGAATGTGCAGGCGACCAGGCGACAGCACGGACCGACCTTCTGCTTCGCTCCGGTTGCGCTCCACGCTCGACTTGCACATGCGGCACACTCGCAGCACACTCGCAACATCTCGACCACTTGGGGCCCGGCTCTGTGAGGGCACCGTCATCGTGTGGGACCTAGCGAGACAGCAGGTGAAACTGCTTCGGACAACAGCCGTCGCCTAGGCTTCAATTTCTGTTTCTTGATCTCGGTGCACCGTGGGCTTCGCAAGACCTCTTCCTGCACTAATTGCTTTCTTTGCTTGCCGGGTGCTGCAGCTACCTGACCCCTCAGCAGGACTGGCAAAACGGCCAGTGCTCCTGGCTGTGATCGAGTCCACGTGACAGAGCGAAACTTCACAGACTTTCTTTCTGTGCCATCGCAGACAGTGTCGTGAACAACTGAATCCAACACGACTTCAACAATGGGCAAAGCGACCGGTATGACCGGCCGATTCTAGGTATTCTAGGTTTCTTGTTACAGCTCCCCACCCTTCCCCAGCCATCAACTCGAGCCGAGCCTACGAGGCCTAAGCTAAGGTTCGGGCAAAGCCAGGGCCTGGGGCCCACTCGAAGCTGGTGGGCGCATCGTAACTGCCGCCTCGAAGAGGAAAATCGGCTGCCAAGCACAGTTCTGCAGTCATCATAAAGCGCTAGCATGCACATAACGAGAACGCTGCGTTTGAAGCATGGCCAATCGTTTGCAGTACTTTTTCTTCTGACAGTTCACTACCCTACCTTCCGAGCTACGCCGAGCTCCGGGCTGGTGTTGCCGACTTCTTGGCCACCGGGTAGGCTCGAGCCAATCCTGTGCAAGCGACAGCAGCACACTAAAGCAAAAAACACCACCATGTCACATGCACAGAGCAGTCGTCTCACGTGTGGTGGGCTTTGTCTGCTTGTCTTGGAACACCCTCTGTCTGTAGATACTTGCAACATGGTATTTCCTTTCTGCGCGACCAACGACTACAGACTCACGGTAAAGTGGCTTGCCTCCTTGCTTAGGGCGCAGGTGTCCTCTGGCCTCCCACCTTCCCCCCCCCCCCCATTTTCAGAGGGCATCTGTTCGTCCGGCACACAGAGCGCGTGAAACGCACTGCGGTTTGTTCCCGTTACACCTTTTTGCCCCATCCTGCACCTTGCGCCACACGGCTTTCTGCCTACCTGCCTGGCCTCAACATCCCCGATCGAAACCCTCATCCCCGACTTCAGTGCAGCACTCAGACACATCTTGCTGTCCCTCTCTTCTTCTGCTGGGCGTGGGGGATGTTCGAGATCTTCCGTGCGCCAGGCGCCCTCCCTCTCTGTTCTATCAGGCATAAGGGGCTTGTCCTCCCCCCACGGGATCCAGCCCCCGTGACCCTCTCTCTCTTTCTCTCTCTTGGCGCACAAGCAAAAGCTGGCGGATCCCCACTTCCCCCGTGCGCAGTCGCGCAATGGGCTTGAAGGTCGTCAGCGAGAAAATACAAAAAACTGTAGCAAAAAGGCGGGGCACCTTTGGATCTGGTGGGGGCCACGTTTCGCGCAGCCTTTATGGCATCGAGTGGATCGGACGGAAATAGTGGACAAAACCCCGTGCGGGGGTTTCATGTCTCTTTACGATTCACTCCTCCTCGTGGATCGAAATTGGATTTGGAGATAAAACATTGTTGGGGTCAGCGTCTCTCTACGTTTCTCCCTTTGGATAGGTCGGAGGTCGTGGGACCACGGCCACCGGAGCCGAGTATGGTACAAGTTTTCGCGATGGGTCTGTAACCCCGAAAACTACAGGTGCCTGCCAGGGACCAAAGAAAACGGACTGACGTCGGCTCTCCTCAAACAGCTCAAGCCCCGACAGCCCATAAACATCAATCCATTCCAAAGCGCTCCCCAACAATCAACAAGTTCAAGACAAGGAGTGCGTTGTGCAAAAACATGCAAGTCACATCACTCTCACTCCCTGCTCACTGTTCACTGCGGCTTCACATGAGACCATATGCTCCTGCCAGGGCAGACGCATCTGCCGCTTCTTTCTTCTTCATCAGGGCATCGGGGGCGTTCAAAACCCCTGGCCTTTAGAGACTGTTTGTGGTGTTTTTGAAGGAGTGTGAAATAACGATTGTGTCCGATCCCGCGACCTAGGAGTAACCATCCAATACTAGACTAAGGCCCACTTCATAATGACAACCTGCTGGGAGACGTCACACATCGCTTGACGAAAAAACTTGCATCAGCATGGGCACCATTAGATTGGGCTTCGCCCCCCTGTGTTTGGCCATGAAACAGGGAAACAACAACTATAAGTTAAAGTGAAGTGTACCCCTTTGCACAGGCATCGAAGCGAACTGGTCCGTGCTGCACACGTCCCCTCTCGCTCATAACAAACAACTAACAGTCGCAAAAAATACAACAATATTCTGCAGAAGGGCTGACATGGAACACATCTTTGTCAGTGCTACAAAGACATGAGGCTGCCGACGGTCCGAAAACATGCTGAGGCCCTGGAACCTGTGTGTTCTAATGCTCTCTCTCTCTCTCTCTCTCTCTCTACCGGCACTGGGGTCCGGGGGATGTCCGCCCCCTTCCCCCGCACGCGAGCGCGCAGCCGCGGGTCATTGCGCGGAATGAATTTCCTGGTGGGGGGTTACCCCCCCCAGGCTCGGTTTTACACTGCAAAGAAAAGAATCCC